GAACGCTTCAAAGTCACAGATTAATGGGCACCAAAGTCTCCAAAGTGGAGGTGACCCTGGCTCAGTGTGGAGGCTAAGGCTGGGGGAGGTGTCCTACTGTGCTGGAAAGGGGCTTCCAGGAGGGGCCGTGCACTGCACTGCATGCCTGCAGGCCGAGGACCAGCCTGGCTGACCTCAGAGGCTCATCGCTGCGTGGGGTGGTCACGCTCTCTATCAGGCAGCGAGCTGAGGAAGTGGATGGACTATTACACTTGGAAGCAGAAAGACCTGAATCCAAACCCTTAGTCAGATACTTACGAGGTGACTGACCTGGGGATGTCAATGGCCGCCTCAGTTTCCTCATCTGTAAAATGGGGTTGACAATAGCACCTACCTCCCAAGATGGTTGTGAGGATCAAGTGAGATCATCTTTGTAAAGTGATTTGCAAACCTTAAGATGCTACATAAATGCTGCCTATTAGTAAGCTGAAGAGTAGCCGCATTTAGGGGAGATGGAAGCAGTATTTCCACCAAAGAGATGATCCAAGATCCCTAAACAACTGAAGGAGGTGCCCTTAAGAGCACACTATCACAGAGCCCACAGGGGAGACCACTGCTCTAATGAGTGTCGGTAATCACGTCTATAAAAAAGCAGGTACTGGGCCCTTCTTCCAGAACACTGTTCCCTCCCCTACTATCACATTGTTTCTTTGGAAAACCAGTTTCAATCTGCAACATTTTGAAGGACAGAAGCTCTTCCCAGAATGCAACATCTGCTAATCAACATTTTTGATGATGTAAATACCTAGATCAAGAACCCCTGTACTCCACCTCCTGCCCTCAGACTTAGGGGCCCATGCCCTCTTTTATACCCTAACCCGTAAAATCTTCCACTTGTCCAGTTCCAGTAATTACCCCCACCCAACCTCTGACACCCACCAGCAGAGTCACATCCACCTGGAATTCAGCATATCTCTCCCATCCTACTGTCTCACTGCCTGTAGGAGACCTCGGCTCCCTGGCTCAGCCCTTTTGGACCACTCTGATTTCACTTGACTACATAGGTCATCCCTATGATGACCATCCCACGGTTGGCACCTTTAACGTCCCCCTAGAATCCTTTGTCCCTTGGATCTTCTTACAACCCAACCTATGAATCCTCTTCTCTGGCTAACCAACATCTGGCTTTTCTATTCCTGAGCACTGCTGGAGAAAAATCAGGAAATCATGTGGATTTTACCCATCACTCATTCAGGACATTCCTAAAGCCCAAGCCTCTGCTCCAGAGATTTCAGAGACCCTGTATCGCTTCTAGGGTCCAATACAGCCACAAGCACAGGTGGAAGAGAGAAGCCCACATGACACAGTCTTGAGGAGATGAAAATCAGAAGGGGGTGAAAGGACTGGAAGAGTGACAGCTTCTTTCAAAAAGCTGCATGAAGGAAAAGGGAAAAGATGGGAAAAGAGCTAGAGGGGGTAAAAGGGAATAAAGAGAAAGCCTGCTCAGGCTTGGGAAGATCTAAGCACACTTGTAAGCAGAGGGAAAGGGTTTTCACCCCTCCACTGAAACTGTTCTTTAGATTTCAATCCTCTCAAATCTACTCCACCTACATAAATGGCTGACACAGCCAAAACTCAAAACGACTGTCTTTTCTTAACTCTTTACAATCTGATTTCCCATTCTCAAAATTTGCTTGAATTGCTTTTTCAGAGAAAGCCCATAACTTGCTAAAAGCCAAATCTAATGGCTTCTTCCTCCTCCTTCTTTTACAGCTCTTGACGCAGCTGACTCTCCACCACTGGAGCAGACAGCACATTCCCCTACCTCTCCAGCCCTTCTTTCTTCGTCTCCTTCACTGGCACCTTGCCCTCTCTGCCACTCCTCCTCGTGGGCCTTCATCAAGCACCTGTCCTTGCCCCTCTCTGCTCCCCTCTCTACCCACCTTCCCTTTGACTGCCACCTCTACTCTCAACTCCAGACGAGCAGTCCCAGCTGCTGAGAGGACACTGCTACCTGGATGTTTCATCAGCACTACAAAGCCAACATAGCCCCACGCCTGAGACGTGAGCTTTCCCTTAAACTTGCTCTTCTTTCTGACTTCTCTCGTTTCGTCTGTCGCTCCACGACTCACTCTATCTTCCATCGCTACAATGGTACTCTTTACAGCCGCCCTGGCTCTCCCTTTCCTCTTATTCTTCATCTCCAATCAGTTGCCAAGTCTCGTGAATTACATCTCTTTGACCCCTTTCTCTCTACTCCAACACAACCACCTTCATCCAGGCCCTTTTTACCTCTTGCCTGGACTATGTAATAGTTTGCTAATTGATAACTTTGTCTCCAGTATCTCCCTCTCTCCTTTCCATCCTTGATGATATTCTTGAAGCACAGATCTGTGCCAGGTACTTCATAAGTGTTCACTGATTGATTCTTCCCTACCTCCCTTTTCTCTTATATCCAAGTAATTACCAAGTTATGTCAACCTCGCCTCTGCAGATATCTTATATGTACCTCCCAATTCCTTCCCAAGGCAACCTTAACAAACACCTTCAATACCTCGGGTCCCTATTGAAACAGTGCAACATATCTTTCTATCATTGCTCTTTTCCCCTCTAATCTGTCCTCCAAATAGCTTCCAGAATATTTCTTGTGAATATAATTAATCACACATATGTATATAAACATATCTGTATTTATGCATGGTGTAATATATATGTGTATGTAAAACACACCTGCATGTGTGTGTCTTTATGCATGCATGCATGCATGCACATATGTAAGACCTTGGCCAAAGACTTCACACAGAGAGCGAGCTGGGCCCAGCACTGAAGAGGAGGAAGAGACTGGGCTGGACTGCTTGGGAGTGAAGTTGCCCAGTACTTTTACTGACACAAAACCCATCCTCTAAACACTGATGTTCCTCCCAAGAATCAAAATGGTAGGTACAGCGACTAGGTTGTAACATGCTATTAATGAGGACTTACATGCTAGCAGGTGGCATGAGAGAGATCACCAACAGTTGGATTTAAACGGGTCAGTGACCTCCTCCATCTTCCATAGTGAAGATCACGACCAACTTGTGCCAGCCCATCCTGGGCACCTCTTGGTCTAAGTTATTCCACAAAGTCACCAGTGACGATTTGTGCAAATGCTATCTTGAGATGCTGAGAAGCTCCTACCTGCTCACTCAAGACCGAGATCAGCTGACCTTTGGGTCTACTGGTTCAACCAGGTCCAATTCTTCCTAACTGTACTATCATTTAACACACGTTCCTCAAAAAGTTGCTATTTCTGTGAGAAAATGGTTCTTGAAAGAAAGTTTTCCTACCCCTGCACTTAACCCTTAACCTAAGGGAGGAACATAGGACTTAGAAGACCTATTAAAGATTTCAATATGTCTTTTACCACCTGCATTTTCTCTATTAAAATCAGATGTAATGGTTTGAAAGAGGAATGGTGTACCAGCATCACACTGCTTATGAGACAACCAGGCTGTGCTTAAGAAAATATCCTTTCAATTACTAACTTTGAAAAAAGCAGGGTTCTGAAGTTACTTTGTGTTGGGGTCTCTGATTTGGCAGGAAAAAATGCTATTTCTTCTTTAATGCAATTAAATTAAGTACAGTTAAAATAGAGCCTACATAGGCATTCATCAGGAGGCATCAGAGAGGACAGGTGAGCAAAGACACTAATATTTTTTGTTAGTAACCAAAATATTTAATGAAATGTGAGGAACTCTGAAAAATTCATAAGATCTGTTTCACAAATTACCAAGTCAACTGGAAGCCTAAAGGGTAAAAATGACAAAAGATTTGTTCTTATGGTTGATAAAAAATTTATATCAAGGCTTTAAGTAAAGTTACTTTCTATGTTCTGATTTAATGAATCAGATGAGCACTAGGTGGGCAGGGTGACCCAGACGGAGCCAGCTCACTGAAGCCTGTGCTAATAATGCCCCTGGTACAGTCTTTCTTGGGACAGTGAAGCCAGAACAACATGTCAGAGTGAAGCAATATCAAAGGCAGAGCAAGCAGGGCCAGGCGGGCTGGTGTTGGCCCATGACACTCCCTGACTTGGGAACGGCTGCTAAGTACTTTTATATCCTACAGGCTTCAGTGACCCAACAAGCCCCAGAGCAGCCACAGCAGCAGTATGGTAATAAATGGTCCCTGAAATAAGATTTTTGCAATTTTGTAATTCAAGCTGAAAAACACACAAAGATTACTTGATGGTTTTATCCCTATTGAAAGGCTCAGCCTGAGAACCCACCAATGATTTCTTAAAAGGCGAATCCGTGTTAAATGTTTTATGTGGGCTTGTGTAGCAGGATTGTTTTTATTTCTTTTAAGAGCATTGAACTTTAAAACTTCATATTAACTGGGGAAAACAGGGTCTATAGGGAGTTTTTGGATGCCATTAATGATAAAATATGTGGAAGGGAGATGAAATCTTATCAGCTAGGGGAGCACGTGAGAGATACCTAAACAACGAGACTTTTGGGATGGCCACGAAAATGTTTTCATTCAACACCAAATGCAGAGTGATGGCTTTGCCTTTTAGTTTCCCAATTTCCAAAACTTTCCTATTTCAAAAGGGACTAACTGAAATCACCTTTGCTATAAATTCTATAGAATTAAGGTTTAAAAAAATGCAAAAATAAAGTGATTGGGAGATACATATTTGTGTGTGCATGCACACACATGTGTATGTATACACATACCCAAATATACATGTATGCATACGAGTGTATACACATACACACACATACACAAATTATAGATCACTTAAGAAAGTACTATTCTTCCCACCATACAGGAGTGTAAAGCAGGGTACAGAGAAAAGGAAGAACTTTTACAATTCAGTTTGGAAAGTTAACGGCATTTTCTTTTCAAACAAAATTCTTCAAAAGCTGCAAAGCTTTTGGACAACAATACTATGACACACGTGCGCGCGCACACACACACACACACACACACAAGCTAAAGAACATTACTTAGAATTTAAAAACTCAATGAGTACTTACAATGACAGTAATACAATAGCAATTAGGGTCCACTCCGCAGGCTTGTGAATGATATTTTTATTTGTTAACCTGAAAAAGAGTAAAAGACACGGAGGTTAAAATCAAAGAATTTTAGAAAGAGAAGGGAACACAGACACCATCTGGCCCAGCCCACCTCTATGCCTTCCCCCTGACCACCCCACCCGCACTGTTCCCTCAGCTTTGGGCAAAGGTTTCACCATCAGAGTCATCAGGCTACAAAGGTTCATTGTTAGAGTAATCTTAGTTTACTTTAAATGCCATCAGACCAGGATGAAGTGGAGCACAGAAAGAAGCCCTCCCTCATGCTGGACCCTCTGCATCTATTAATGCAAGGTTAGCTCTGAAGCCTTTTCAGCAGTCATGTCATGACACTATTATTACTCCATACTGGGCCTTGAAGGTAGGATTTGCCAAAATTCTGGATCATGAAAAAACCAACTCCCCCACTATTTCCAGATGAAACACTATTTATAGCAATATGAATAAAACAAAAGTTAGGTTTTATAAAGAAGGATGTGCTTGGTATTTGTTAAAGAAAAAGGTTTATGGGCTTAGGATGGTATATAGTAGTAGACAGATGGTATACAAAGGGCAGCTAGATGTCAGGAAGACTCATTTTCAAGAGTTCAAATCTGGCCTCAGACGCTTAGCTGTGTGACCCTAGGCAAGTCACTTAACCCTGCTTGCCTCAGTTTCCTCATCTGTAAAATGAGCTTGAGAAGGAAATGGCAAACCACTCCGATATGTTGGCCAAGAAAACCCCAAATGGGGTCACGGAAGAGTTGGATATGACAGAAAAATGACTAATCAATAGACAGTATACAGTTTTCATTTGGTAAATACTAGTTTAAATAAAATAACAATTGTTCTCGGTTCTTACACAAACAATACTGATGTTGGACAGAGATGGGAACCAGAAATGGTGTGGAAAATACATGGGTATTTATCAAAACCGCTTTAGTCCTCTCATTCACAACCCCTGTTTTTGACAGAACAGGCCAAAGAAGGAACCGGCTGACTGCTGCCTCCTCGTCTGGCCCTGCCCAGCCCTCGGTGGAAGTGCTGAGGAACTCCGGAGGAGACAACGTGGGCAGCAGAGAGTGGATGATGACCAAAGAGCTTGCTGAGAGCGTAGGACTAAATCTTCATTCAAGAAAATGTCATTAGAGCCGTCTAAAGTCAAGTTTCACCCTGAGCACTCTGTGTGACCTGCTTGAACTTCTGAGTTTTTTGAATCCTAAATAATCTGTGGATTCTCCAGCAGTTCCCTCGGGGTAGATTACTACTCTGCAATTATTGCCAGGGAAGCGGCCCAAGAAGAAGTTAAACCTCCTGTCTGGGAGTCATCTGGGAAATGATTAGAAAGCATTCGCTTCTTTTACTGCGAGCCCCAAAGTCCCAATTCTTTAACAGGCCACTTTATAACAAGAAGTTTCACTGTAAAATTAGCATACATGCTACATCCCATAAACACGGTACTCACAGTGTGGTCTAAAAAAACTGGCAACTCTGGTGTTTAAATATGAGAATAAGACCCACTTCCACAGAATGAGAGTTAGAAGGAACCACAAGACTGTCTGGACTTGGGGTTCTTGACCTTTTTTGCTTTATAATCCTCTCTGGTAACAGGCTGATTAAGCCAATGGATCCCTTCTCTGACTAATATTTTTAAATTAATAAAATATACAGGATTACAAAGGAAATCAGTTATATCAAAAAAAGATTAACTCTTTTCCTGTCCAAGTTCCCAGACCCTAGTTTAATCTAGTCCAAACTGGAGCTAACTAGGAATATCTCAGCAGCTGAAGAGATTCAGGGAAGGGGACACGACCACCTGAGGCAGTTCATTTGCTTAGGGATAACTCATTTTTTTAATCCATTTTCCCCCATAGCTGCCTTCAGCTTGGCTTTCTGCCACCTAGTGCCCTAGAGCCAAGCAGGATCAAGCCTGTCCTAGATGGCGGCCCTGTGAACACCTGAAGAGTCTTCTCTAGGCTAATCAGGCATGGCGCCCTCCTATGATGTCCAGTTCCTTCATCCTCTTGGCTGCTATCTGCTGGATGCATTCCAGCTTATCAGTTTCTTTCCTAAAATAGTTTCTTAATGTGTGGGCAAGTAATAGAAAAGGAACATGTATGTGTTTGTTAGAGATGCTGGGTTGACAGTAATTTAAAAAGAAACAAAGAAAAAGTACCCAGAGGTTTAAACGTGCAGAATAAATTACAAAAACAGGTAAGCATAACTCCCTTTCCCTGTTCTTAAATTTCCTAAAGACTTTTTAAAATCATTTTAAGATTACATAAATGTTCAAGATGTAGTATTTTCAGGGGTAGTGTGTGTGGGCAAATTGTTTAACTTTTCCTTTGCAGTAGCAGCAATGAACTTAATGGTTATTAAATGATTAGATTAGTTGTGTTGTATCATTCAATAAACGAAGTTGTAGAATTTGAAATAAATGGCTAAAAAGTACAGGTACTTTCAGCTCCCAAATACAATTATAATTGCTAAAAATGTCTTCTAAAAAAGCCTAAATGCTTTCTGTCCTGAAACTAAATAGATTAGAAAAATGTCTTGATGAATCCTGATGACAGCAACAAACATTACTAAGAACCTTCTGATGGAAACACTCTGACAGGTAAATCACATGTAAAATTCCACTTAATCTGCTGTGCTGAAACCTAGTGGAAAAGACAGCTCTGAGCCACTGGGGAAAGGCTCTTCATAGAACACAGAAAGCGGCTTCAGGCTTATGCTTTACAAGGTCTCCTATTGATCCGAGCTCAAGAAGCAATCGTTCTTAGACTCAAATGGAGAAATACGGTTATTGGTGTCAATGAACTCTTCCCCAGTGCCTGTATTGATTGGCAAGGTCTCAACACTAGTCAATGTTATCAATCTGTTACTTGCAAAGGAGTCAGCCTAGGAACAGATACACACATCTGTGGCAGGGCTAACTTCCAGAAGGAGATGAGTCTGGAAGACCTCAAAGCCAGGCAGCAAGCTAGATCCAGCACAGTCTTCCAAAAGAATGAGTCATTCTAAGCAATTCTAACTAAATCCCCAGGTAAACGGTCCTTTAGAGAAAACAATCCAGGCAACTATTGTTAGATACAAGCTGATCTGTTTATGCAAAGGTCTCAGAAGAAAAATTTCCCCAAAACATTTAAAAATAGGTTAGTTGCTGGTAAAAGACGTGGCTGACTCATGTTTTACCTTGTTTTTACCCAAATTAAATAATTTGCAACTAAAATGGAAGGGACTGATATGTTAGAAAAGGAAGGAAAAGGCTGCTTTTATTACATAAAGTAAGCACATCAGAGGAGGTGTAGGACCACAAAGAGGAGGAGCCATGTTTCAAAATTTGTACCAAGATTTGATTAGATACATTGATGTCTCAGTTACTGTACTTATTACATGGGACTGAATCTGACAGGTGTGACAGGAACCTGGAAACGTTTATGGAATTCAGAAACCACTACCTGGGGCACACACTACAGGCCACTTGATTAGAATGTCCCTCACATCTGGAGACAACTATTCTATAACCATTTTTGCTTTTGCTCAAAGATATTTATTAAAACAAGCATACACTTTAATAAACTTATCTTCTACAGAAAGGCCATGAAAAATGGGTTGCCAATTTAAAGCAAGAATTTAAAAGAAACAATTTCCTCTTTAATTCTGAGCTGTCCCCTCTCCCATTTCCTCTTGTCATTCATGGCCTTTTGCTTTAGCCTGGGAATGCAATCCCATTTTGACCGTTTCCTTTTCTTCATTTCTGCCCCTGTGGAAATGTGCATGCAATGGCCATGACTCTGGTTAAAACAAGCTTACAGGTCCTTGGTGCACACCATGCCTTCCAGTTCGCTACCCACTGGACTCAGGCCTTCCAAAGTGAAGCTCAGATCAGCTAAAAACGTAAGTTTTGATTTTACTCTAATTTTGCTAAGATTTGCTATTAGTTCAACTGGCTTTCCGCTGGTAGACTCTGACCTTCTAATGCATGAAAGGAAGCTTCTTTGAAGCAATCTCAAATATAGCTGAGTATACAAACCAGGGCACATCAACAGTTAAGCACCACAGTTTTCTCCATAGATTTAGCTATATTCCAAGTGTGCACATGTAAAGAAACAGTGACGGCTCAGCTTATTACTGAGAAATGAGTTAGGATTCCAAATCTATGTGATCACAGCAGGAACCACTGACCTCCAACAGTGCTTTATCTGCACCATACACGCTAGTATTAGTGGATGGAGCCTCAGACTCTCACTAGCTACGTCACCACGAGTCACTTACCTACTCTTAGCCTCAGTTTCCTCATTTATAAAATGGGGCAATAGCACCTTCCTCAGGGTTATCTGATCCTCACAATTGAGGATCAAATAAAATAATATATATAAAATGCTTTGCAAACTTACAAAAATGTACATTATTATAGCACTTCTTCATTATTGTATGTGTTAAACTTATCTCCCCAATTAGAATGTAACCTCGAAGACAAGAATCTTATTTTGTACTTCTAAAAAACATTTCTCTCCAACCCAGTCCCCAATAGTGACTAACATTTGTTGACTAAAACCAAACATTTTATAGCCCAAGGGCCTATATATTGCTGTATATCAACTTTTTTTTTCTTGGTTTCAAGTTATTCCTTGATGAAACTAGCCAAAACCGAATATATCAGGAAAACAGAATCTCACAAGATAATATGGGGCATCTCAAAAATCTTGTGCAGTTTTAAGCTATTAAAACTTAAGAGCTTGAAGAACCTTCAGCAGTCATGAAGGGCCCAGAAGTGGAGAGTGATTTGCCCAACGTCACAAGGTTAATAAATGACAGAGACAAGACTTGAACTCAGATCACCTCAGATCACCAATCCAGCACGACTTCCACAGTATGAGAACTGAAAGAACATCAGGGGACACAGTTCAGCCTGTACCTAGACAGGAATTCCCTACAGATCCTGCTCAGCAGTAGGTCACCCTGGAAAGGAAGGGAGTAACGGAGGGAGGGAGAAAGGGAGGGAAGGAAGGAAGGAAAGAAGAATGGAGGGAGGGAGGAAGGATGGAGGGATGGAGAGAGGGAAGGAGGGGGGAAGAAAGGAAGAAAGGAAGGCATCTCATGAAGGGGAGCCCACTCTATCATCCCAGAATTGCAAGCCTGGAAGGGATCGATATTGAAAAGTCTTCTCCTTACAGATCAAGGTTTGAGTGGAAGGGGAGCTTTGTCTTCCTGAGGAGATGAATGCAGCAGAGTCAGGAAGAAAAACTGAAACACCAGGTTGGGAATATGGAGCCCAGAGTTCTAGCTCGAGACCCCAAGAACAAAGAACCACTTGGCTAAGAGGCGACAGCCTAGTGGGATGGAATGAGCCCTCCATTACTGAACTCAGCTATGCACTGATCTGCTTTTCGTGAGTAGAGTTATCTGTTACAAGGAAGGGCTTCTCTGGGGTGGAGGCAATGTGGGGAGTAAGAGTTAGCAGGAAGTAACCAAGATGAAACACAGAGAAGAAAGAAAAGTGCATCACTGAAGCCTAAAAAAATACACAGACCTTCAGAAGCAAGCATAAACAAGGACATTTTGTTACCCCCTTTTAAGACCCACTTAAAAACCTCACTGCAGCAGAAGTGCACGGCTCCACACACTGGAATGTGTGTGTTTGCTGATGATTCTGTTGCTTGAGGGCTGGGACCACCTCGTTCTTGTCTGTGTCTCCAGAGCCGAGCCCCGGGCCTTGCGCACCTCCCTGGGCCTTGCACCCACAAGGTGGATCCTTTACAACCACTGACTGTGTTGGACCTGGAGTCAGGACACCCAGAAGCAGAATAAAGTCATCAGCCATGCGACCCTGGGCATATCACCTCTCTCCTCTCCCCGGTTCAGTCTCCTCAGATTTAAATGGAGACTCATAGCACCTACCGCATGGGGTAACACGTAAAAAGAGCCCTCTGCAAACTGTAAAGTGCTAAACAGAGCTAGTTTTTGTTATTATTATTATTATTATTATTTTAATAACTGAAACATGGGTTGGGGCTAAATGTTGGTCCTGAAATGTCCAATAAAGCTCAGACTTTATTTGGACAAGAAGCATTCAGTGGTTGTAAGGGGGTGACACAGATCATAAAAAGGAGCTGAGCACAGACTCCTGATCTAGAAGCTCAGAGAGGGGGAGATGAACCCCAGACCACACAGGTAACAAGGGAGTGAGTTGGAATTCTAAGTCAAGACCCCGGACCCCAAAGCCTTCTTTTCAGTTACACTGGCAGGAGCAAATGCAGACTGGACTTTGGAAGGTCAAAACCTTGTCAACATATTGTCCACAAAGGATAATGAGGACCTGACCTGGGGGTGGTGACAACGGGAAGAGACTGGAGGAGACAGGCATAAGAGAGATCATGAAGATCAAAAGAAAAAGAAGGCTTAGAAATTGACTGGATAAATGTGGGGAGAAGGAAAAGAAAGGAGTCAAGGAGGACAATGAGATTTCAGATCTTGTGACTGGCTGTGGCATTACTGACAAAAATAAGAAAGTCAGGAGGAAGAAATGATTTGGGAGGGCAGGAGAGGAAGACGATTAATTTAGGGAGGGACTCTTCAAAATCTCTAGAACAGCAGTAATGCCTTGTCTTATGAATGTCTGAAGCCTTAGTGCTTCCTTCTGGTAGTAAGGTATCCTAGAAATGTGAGATGGGTCAAAATGATTGCATTCTTATGAGGATTCCTTTAGTCTTGTCATCCCCAAGTCTCATTTCTTTTTTAAGTTTTTTTAGTTTCTAAAACTTAAATACACAATAAGAAAAACATATTATAAACTTAAATACAAAATAAGAAAAGAAAAAAAAAGCATTTCCATGTGCACAGCAGAACGTGAGAGGATTCAAAATATACAGCAATAAATTTCCATTTCAAGAAAGTGTCTATAATAAATACTATACATTGTGTTCAGAGCTGTCCATGTTTTCTTTGCTTCCTTGTAAGTTTTCCCCAGGCCTCATTTCTCAGGGTCGTGTTGAAATCTAAATTTCCAGCCAATCTCCAAGTGTTTTCTTTACAAATCAGAATTTCTTGTAAGCTGCTGATTGTAAGGTCAAAGTAGGGAAAAAAAAAACTTTATTATATTTGATACTAACCTAAAAGTCTGGACAAGATTTTTAAGTTCAGTGTAGATATCACTCAATGCAACCTGAAGAGGACCCAAGATTCCTGGCAATCTGAAAATAATAACAAAAATGCTTCAATTACTTTCTTTTTAAAATATTTTCCCAGTTCTAGATATACTTCTGTAATTTGTAAGTAGAATGAGTCTATGCCTGTTTTATCTATAGGTAATTCTACAATGTTCCCATAATGCTTTCATGATTTAACCGAGACACATGGCAACATTTAGGTTCTGTGACTGGGGAGGACCGTCACCAGGACGTGGCTGACAGTGACAAGCCAATCTGCTTTCCAGGAGGGTCACAAAGTGATCGCAGAAGGACAGAGGCAGGCTGGAAGCCACTTGGCCAGGATTTGGCACATTCTGACCATGTTTCTCATTTCTTGACTTCCAGGTTTTTTGGTGGAGGAAAACCAAGAGGTATAGGGGAGACACACGTGAGAGAAGGAGAAAACAAAGTCAAGGCAGGAACTGGTTCTTGAAACTGTCAGGCATCCAGGGGACACAGTCTCTATCCTGACACAAAAATCAAGGCTACCACTGAGGCCACCATGGCTGCCGGTGGGCCTTCCACTTTCTCTTTTTTCTGTCCCCAATTCTCGTTTTAAGCACATGTGATTTGCTAATGGCCTCCCAGTATGGCTCATTCTTCTACCATTCTGTTGCAGAAAAAAAAAAACGTAAGAGGAATAGAATTCCTTCAATAAAATAAATGTCAATTTTCATTAACTAAGACACAACTGACTACAACTACAAAGTGTGCTTCTGGGAGACATGCCTTGGACAACTGTGGAAGGAAGCCATACCACACTGTTTCTGTTTAATCAGACAGAGATAGTCTACATCTAAGTACACAGATTTAAAGAAAAATGGCTGGTTGACACTCTCAAATGTTTTCCCTGTGCATATAAACAGGAGATCTGGGCTATTTTTGAAAACAGTATTTCTTGAAAACAAATTTACATATATGCAGAAAAGTCTATTTACTACTTAACCAACTCATACAATCTCCTCACCAAGGGCTCCTTGCAACCATGAAATCGTGGGTCTGGTCCTCTTTCAATTCTCACCAACCCCCACCCTCAACCTCCCAACCCTACCAAAAAAAATCGTTGAACTGAAATATCGATATGACACACCTTCTTCCCAACAAATAATGTGTGCGATGTCAAATCAAAAATGAAGATTTGGTAAATAAGACAATTTTAGCTTTCACTTAGAAACATTTTTTTTAAGGTCAAGGAGAAAATATTACAAGCAGCCAGAAAGAAACAATTCAAGTATTGTGGAAACACAATCAGGATAACACAAGATTTAGCTGCTTCTACATTAAGGGACCGCAGGGCATGGAATATAATATTCTAGAGGGCAAAGGAGATAGGATTACAACCAAGAATCACCTACCCAGCAAAGCTGAATATAATCCTTCAGGGGAAAAAATGGTCATTCAGTGAAATAGAGGACTTTCAAGCACTCTTGATGAAAAGACCAGAGCTGAATAGAAAATATGACTTTCAAATACAAGACTCTAGTGGAATATGAAGAGGTAAACAGGAAAGAGAAATCATAAGAGACTTATTAAGGTTGAACTGTTTACATTCCTGCATGAAAAGATGATATTTATAACTCATGAGACCTTTGTCAGTATTAGGGTAGTTGGAGGGAAAAAATTATATGTATGTATATAGATAGAGATAGAGATAGAAACAGATAGAGAGATAGAGGGCACAGGGTGAGTTGAAGATGAAGGGGTCATATCTGGAGAATAAAATTAAGGGGTGAGAGAGGATTATATTGGGAGAAGGAGAAAGGGAGAGGTAGAACGGGGTCAATTATCTCACAAAAAACAGAAAAGAAAAAGGCTTTTATAGTGGAGGGGAAACAAGGTAAAGTGAGAGGGAATGAGTGAATCTTATTCTCGTAGGATTTGACTTAAGGAGGGAATAACATACACACTCAATTGGGTATGGAAATCTGTCTTACCCTACAGGAAAATAGGGGGAGAAGGGGACAAAAGAACAGGGGAATAATAGAGATGAGGGCAGATTGGGAGAGGGGGTAACCAGAAGCAAACACTTCTGAGGAGGGACAGGGTCAAAAGAAAGAATAGAATAAATGGGGGGGAGGGGGAGTGGGATAGGATTAAGGGAAATAGAGTTAGTTTTTCACAACATGACTACTATGGAAGTGTTTTGCATAACTGCACATGTATAACCTATATTGAGTTGCTTGCCTTTTCAATGAGGGTAGGTGGGGAGGGAGGAAGGGAGAAAATTTAGAACCCAAAGTTTTAAAAACACATGTTTAAAAAAAAATGTTTTCACATGAACTGGGAAATAAGAATACAGGAAATGGGGTACAGAAATCTATCCTGCCCTATAGGAAAAAAGAAGGGGAATGGGGGGAAAGACAGCAGGGATAGCAGACTAGGGGAAGGGGTATTCAGAATGCATGCCATCTTGGGATGGGGGGAGGGGCGAGATGGGGTGAAAATTTGGAACTCAAAATCTTGTGGAAGTAAATGTTGAAAACTAAAAATAAATAAATTTTTAAAAAAGTCAAATAACTGCCTTCTCAAACTACACTTTTGAAACTTCCTTTGTTTTATACAAAGGTTGCTTAAAAGTCTAACAATGCTCAGAAGTGAGCGTGCCTGAATTCTACACAGCCCAAACATTAGTTCTCTTGCATAAACATCACCCCAAAAACAAGTCCCAAAAAGAAACCTTGGGTCAAACGGTACTTCTGGGGATAACTCTATGGAGTATCAAAATGAGGGCTGGACGGTTCTTTAAATGACTGGATGGCAGTTGTCATCATAGCTCTAGAGAGGTGACTCACTTGTTTTTTTTGGGTTAGGCAGTTGGGGTTAAGTGACTTGCCCAGGGTCATACAGCTAGTAAGTGTCAAGTGTCTGAGGCCAGATTTGAACTCAGGTCCTCTCGACTCCAGGGCCGGTGCTCTATCCACTGCACCACCTAGCTGCCCCCACAAGCCTTTTTTAAGAAGAGAAGCCAAAGCAGCTCCAACATCAGGAGCTATCTCCAATAAAGAAGTGATCCTAAATGTTCCTGACCAGGCTAATTCTAATGATAATGAATATTTTCCTTTAGAGGAAGCCAGAAATGGAGGAGGGGGCAAACTGCATGATTTTTAAGGTCTCCTGTATTAAAACCACAATTCTAAGGCTCTCAGGAAAAAGGAAAACTTGGAGCTAAAGATTCCAGTGTTGACCATAAGCTAGCTCTCTGTCTGTTTGTGTTATCAACTGATGAAAACAGTTAAGACTTGGTTTTTATAGCAATTTTTTAAAAGCCACACTTGAGAAATTGCAATGTATAACATGTCTACCACAGATCAGTGTTTGAATGGAAATACTTTCTCATTCAGGAGTCAAAGATGCTAAAATCTAAGCTATTTTATTTTTCTACTTAAGTGTAGCAGTTCCCAGGAAATCAGTTCTCTACTTACCTAATCTTAATTTCCCACTTAATTTTGTGACTCCCATATAGTATCTTCCCCTCCCCACTAACATTATAAAAATCCACCCAAGTTTCAATTAATGGACTATTTCATAGTTGAAGGAATCTATATGGCATCCCTAAAATTATTTTTCAGAATAGCTGAATATAATAATATTAACTGTCAAGTCTCAAAATTCTCATAAAATTTCTAAAATTATTATATACTTACACTTTTGTCAATTTTTCAAGTACAATGCGTCTTCTAATCTGGTTCTGAGAACTTGAATCTATGAGAGGAAAGGTGGGATCACCCTGAATCACATTTGTAAAAAACAAAGAAGAAATGTGATTTTATTTCTTATTTTAAAGAATGGAGAATCACCACAAATTTAAAAGACAGTATTTTTCTTAATCCAAAGTTGATAGTTTTAGAACTAAGGATAACATTTTAAAAAACCAATTTTTAATAAAATGATGACTATAAAAGTTCCCAATATCAAGAACTACTTTATTCATCTTCATGGGGCTCAAAACCATCTTCGTCAAAGATAAACAGCGACACTAACATCAGCCAAGGTCCTTCCACCTTCACATATCTGCTGGGCATCAGTGTCTCTCCCATTTTAGCACAAAAGTCATGCTTGCTATACAAGAACATTTCTGTATTCTCAAGCATGAGGCCAGGATACCATTTATGAAAATAAAATTTATTCCTAAATTTTGAATAAAATTCTTTTTCCAATAACTATGTACACATTCCTAAATTTGACTTAGAAAATTCCTAGTAATGAAAAAGATTTTTGTGGTAAAATTCAAGATAAAATAATCCAGCCCTTCATGTTGACTGACAGTTCATTTCCCAATCCATCTTCTCATAGCCACAGCCCTACAAAAAAAAGTTATAGCTGGTAGAGACTTAAGATATTGAGTTCAACTCCTCCACAGAACAGATGAGAGCACTGGGACCCTTCGAAGGTTGGGTGAATTGCCTGAGGCCATGTAGTAAGTCTGTGGCAGATCTGAGATGCTCTATGATTCTCCTATAATTTATGTTACACAGAACATAATTTTCTCCAAAATTCTCCCAGTTTTAAAGCTAGAACTGCCATTTCTGCTATATTTTGAGTCTTATAGATGAATAAAGTTAAGCTCATATTTAACATTCAACTAAATGATCCGACCCATTCCCGAAATCTAACTGACTGATGCACGTGAAAGAAGAACAGAATTTAAAAAGCCCCCTCTGAGATCTTACTACATGGGAAACTTTGCTCCTGACTGAAACTTTGCCCTGCCTTTCTGGGCCATCCCTACAGAGTAGAACAACAGCCCCATCATTTATGAAAACTGCAAACAGGGGCAGCTAGGTGGCGCAGTGGATAGAGCACCGGCCCTGAAGTCAGGAGGAACTGAGTTCAAATCCAGCCTCAGACCAAACACTTGACATTTACTAGCTGTGTGACCCTGGGCAAGTCACTTAACCCCAACTGCCTTAAAAAAAAAACAAAACAGCAAACAGAATCATGGCAGGCTGTTCATTGCCACAAGGCAGGAACTTTCCTGGAGCTCTTTGGGGCAGCTACCAGCATGACCTAGGGGCAGAAACAAGCAAGGTTCAGCTAGATTTAAAAGGGCTAAAAAGACAGCACTCTAGGGGTCCAGGAGTGTTACTGTTGTGGAGATAATCTTTAAGCTGAAGGAACAAAAAAAAAAAAAAAAAAAAGAGGAAGAAACCATATTCTCTTAAATTCCTCCCTCCCTTCCCCATACCTGATACCATGAGTTAAGACATACCTTGTCTGTAGTTTCTGCTTTGGGGGACTCCTCATCCAAAATATATTTTCCTCTACAGAACTCCCTGATCCTTAAATTCAATGCTTCAGTTTCTTTTCTGAGGCTCTCGTAACTTGGCAGAGGGTGAACGGCGGCCCCTAAGCCACTGAACGGCAGAGACTGATCCAGGGTGTTCTGAGACACCCGTCCAGCAGCAGATATGTGACTCTCCATCCCTGGAAGCAGGGTCGCCCCGTCTTTTTCTTTATCCGCAGCCTGAGGAATCGGTGGAGAGGCTGTCACAGGGACAGGGACATAGTTCTTGCCATATAAAAACTTCAACGTTTCTTGTGTCTTCCACTCCACCAAAGTCTCCTTGAGGGCTTGAAACAAGCCTGCTTTAGCTGCAGCAGGATCCACCTGGAGGGCACTGGAACCTGACAGGGCATGCTGATTCAACTTTGCAAATTTCCTCCTAAAACGTTCTGCTCCTTGTTTGCTTATGCCTACCAGAGCTATCTGTGAACTACCACAACCATCTTCAGAATTCTCCAAGGCTTTTGATTTTTCTGAGGAAAAACCTGGTGAAACACAGGTATTCTCCTCTTGAACACAAAGGGCACAAGCGCTCACTTTCTCCAGGCTATCCAGTGTACACCTGCTCAACTGCGCGGCCACATCTTCGGCCAGCAGGTCTTTGTCGTGGTGTCTGGAGTTTGTTTTCCGGCCAGGCCTCTTTTTCAGGATGCTTCTTGGATACGGCTGCTGCCTTCCAGGGGTTGCATTTGGTTTGTTTCCTGGTAGAAGGGAGGAAACAAATCCTTGCTCATCCTCGCTGCTACTGTGGCTGTGGCTGCTGGAGGACCCAGACTCATCCTGGCTTCTCGACCGGTCAGGATTCTCAATGTCCGATGTCTTCACAGCCTCGTTACACAACCTGACTTCTTCACCAGAATGACCACTGGGGGGGGGGGGGGGAAAGAAGAAAGAAGAGACACACAGCAAAGCAGGCTGAGCTGCTGCCATTTCGCAGTTTTCAAAAGAAAAGAGTTTTGAATTACATGCCAAGACATGGCCAAGACTTAACATGTTAATCTATGTGCTTTTCAATGAGTACTGGGATACAGTTTATTTTGAAACTGCTCCTATTAAAACTTTTATAGAATTTCTTTCGGTTTTCACCTTGGAGACTCTAATTACTAGTTTCACAAAAAATAAAAATATCAGAAACACTTCATTTAAACTTAAAAAAACTAAAATGAAGACTATGGTGAGTAGAAAATGCCATATACTTTCATGGGTAATTCAGACACACAAAAGATGATCTGACCACCACAGCTGAGGAAATAGAAAAGTTATAAGGAAGAGGAGGTAATTAAGGCCTGTTTTACCGTACAGTGAAAGATAGCATGGGGCCGCAGCTCAAAAGCTGGCCTTGGAGTAACCAGGACTGGCTTTATTCCAGCCTCTGCCCCACTCGCCATGTGACCCTCTGAGGATTGTGTCATCTTTCACCCGTGCTCAAGGCAGGATAAATGTGCCAACCTGCATCCATAGAGGGAGTTTCCTTTCCAGGCATTTCCAACACCAATGAAACCACGGGTCCAGTCAAAAAACAAAAACAAAAACAAAAACCCCTCAAAAGTAAGAGCTAGAGAAAGGCAAATAAAACAAATCTCAGAATCTGACAGTAATGCCAATAACAAAAGGAGACATTTTCTTCCTGTGTTTTTGAAATTTTGGATGAGATCTGAGAGAGAGATTAAGAACTGTTGAGTTTGTTGTTGGGTGGCTGTTTTTTCCTTGAGAGGAGGTGCTGTTTTTGCAGAGAAGGAGAGCCAGGAATATACTTTTTAGTCATAATTTATCACCAAACCATGCTATGACTATGTCTGAGGTCAGAGGAAAAATAAGTGAGTATAATTTGGTGAAATCTAGAATCACTTCACCTTTCATAGTTCAGTAATCGATACAAAAATCTTCAGCTGGGAGGTGGCAGTCATGTTTTTCTATATTACTTTAAAATTCCATGTTACAGCTACACATGAATAGATAAAGATCTCTAACCCACTCAATCTCCATCTATCTAACCCCTAGGTGGTGACTAATAACCAACCAGGATTGTTCTTTTTTTTGAGGGTGGGGAGGTCAGGAGGTCATGCAAGGAACAGGATGGTAAGTAAGAGAGACACTAAAAAGCGGCCATACCCTGGTGAGGAAAATGATCAAAGATTAAAGAAAACAAAATCCAGGAATCTAAAACATTATTTCAAATAAATTACATAACTGGCAAATCCCTAACTTTAAATACTGTAAATTTAGATTTTTAAAAACCTTTCAACACATATAATTGGACCAATCTATTTAACAAAGACCTACAGTACACAGGATGGAAAAAGCAGGGGTTATGTTTGTGGCAGATTTCAACAGGTCAATTAAGACTTCCCAGGTAGGAGCAGCTGCGCACTAAATCATACAGAACAAACCATACTGCTGGGGCAACACAAAAGAAAAAGCTCGACAGGTCCAGCATTTCATTGTGTGGGTACAATGGGGCCCTTCCACAATGCATCAGCACAGGAAATCAAAGAGCTCCTATCACCTGCTTTACTGCCGAGGTTTCAAACCACGGCTGTACTGTACAGAAGGGATCCGGATTCAACCATACCTCTGTCCTTCCTTTAGCAGCTGAAGATCCGGAGGTCTGTGATAAAGACAGAGACAGAAAAGTATTTAGAAGGTGATGTACCAATCAATTATCAGCATTCACATATAACTTTATACAACACAGTAAAGCATGGTAAAGACTTCTCCTTGTGAGAGACAGGGGACAACATCTCCACTGAATCAGAGGAAAGGGCCAGACCGGCAGGTCAATTTCTTATTTAAGAAACCGAAAGCAAGCTGAAGGTCCATCTGTAAGCCCTTGGCACTTTTCACATGGCTAAGGAGACTTCATAACATAAATACAAACGGTTTAAAGTCTAATCTACTCATTTTAATTATGCTATTCAGAAGTAAATTTTAATTTGCACTTGGACTCTTGGCCTAATGAAAACTTCCAGCACAATCAGAAATTATAATTACAAATGCAAACAAAAATATCAAACTATAAATGTTAGAAATATACAAAAATAAACATTAAAAAAGATGTAAGAGTTAGGATATGTAGCTCTTATAGTAATGAAGACACATGGACTCATTTAACATATCCAAGGATCTGTTAAACTAAAAATAATGCAACACAACTTCCAGTTAAAATGAAAATCTAACTTTCCACTAAATGCCAAAATCAAGTATCCTACGGCCGAAGAGTACTCGTAATAAAGAAAAAAAATCAACAGTAATCAAAACCAAACATTCTTAATTTCCTAAGATGTTCACTTCTATACTTTCCATGGGAATTGCAACTTTTTTTTAGAATTTTTTTTTTTACTCCTTAATTACTGGTGTTTAAAATGACCAGACTAAGGGGCAGCTAGGTGGTGCAATGGATAGAGTACTGGCCCTGGAGTCAGGAGGACCTGAGTTCAAATCCGGCCTCAGACCTTGGGCAAGTAACTAAACCCTAATGCCTAGCAAAAAACAAAAAACAAAAAAAGAAAAAGAGAAAGAAAGAAATCAGGCAACACAGTCAGTATGCTAAAAGAATGCCAATAAATTATCCCAAGAGGAGGATCCCTGGTTCCTGCTGACCCCTAACGATTATGAGCTTTTCTGCTTCTAAAGAATTCAATTAGGTCACAATAATAGAACATGTATTGAGAGCTTAAAGAGAACTTACAGGTCATCCAAGTTACCCCTCCCCCCTCATTTAAAGATGAGGAAACTGGTCAGAGAAGTTAAGTGTCTTCCCAAAGGTCACATGGGTGACAGCAGCAGTCAAGACTTGAAACCACATCCTCTGACTCCAAATCCATTCTCTCTCTCTCTCTCATACACACACACACACACACACACACACACACACACACACACACACACACCCTTAGATACTTAATAAACGCTTGTTGATTGGATGATCCACTCAGTTGCCAAATCTGGTCAAGTCTACAGCCACATTTCCTGCATCTTATTCTGTGCTCTTAACACTTATTCTGGCCTTCATCACCTCCTATTTCATTTATTATAATAGCCTCCTAATTAATCTTGCAGCCTCCAGCCTCCCCCTTCTCCATTCTATCTTCCTTTGTAGAAAATGCCAAACTGATATTTCTCAAGTACAGGTCAGTTCTCTGCTCAAAAAACACTAGTGGTTCCCAATCATCTCTAGGGTATGTAACTCAAGTTCCAGTGTTAAGGGTTCTAAATGCCACAATTTTAATTCTAGTCTGTATTTTCAGGTTTATCATACCTTTTTTTCTCTTCACATGCTCTATGATCCAGCAAAAATGGCTCCCTTTGCTGCTCCTTGTACACAATATTCTATTTCCTACCTGTGTCTTTGCTTAGGCAGCGATTCCCAAACTTATTTGACCTACTGCCCCCTTTACAAAAAAAAAATTTCTCAGCACCTCCCTGGAAATCTACTTTCTTTAACCCTTCAACATATATATATATATATTTAAAATGACACATCTTAGATTTAATAATTTATTGTAAATTTGTGGGCTTTTCCTGCATTGAAATTTTGATGATACAACATTGTGTCATGTAACCGTATTGTATCATTCTGTAAACAAGTCATCACATACACATATTCCTGCCGATGCATGCTGGACTTCTGGACAATGCGTGACACGTTTGCCTGCCAACACTTGTTTGTTAAGACCGGTCAGCAGACTTGACCACTGAGTGGTTATAACTTGCATCTTTTGTGTTTATTTGGAAAATAATGTAATCACTACAACTTTAACTCTCTCACATAATAGATGAAACATGTACAAATGGTTTTTCAAAATTTTCTTCTCTCCTCTTCTTTCCTTATGCTTCCACTGCCCCCTTATTTTTATTCAATGCCCCCCAATTGCACCGAGGCTACTACCACCCCCTTTTATCGGTCCATCGCCCCCCAGGGGGTGGCACCACTCACTTTGGGAACCTATTGCCTAGATTATCACCTGAGCCTGGAATGCACTCACTCTTTCTCCTACATTTGCCTCACAGAATTCCTAAAATCCTCTAAAGCTCAGTTTTAAGTGCTACCTACTAAAACAAGTCTATCCTCATCCCCCATCGCTACTCTTTTTCCCCCCCTTTAGAAATTTGTGTGTACGTACGTGTGTATATGGCATGTGTATCTAAACATACAAATATATATATGGGTATGTATATTAAACCAACCACAGTGCCTAGCACACATAATAATTGTTTAATAAATACCTGATTAATGAATATTTACAAAGCATTCACTGTACACCAAGTACTCTAACAGTTTCTGGGAATACAAAGAAAAAATACAAACTTGTTCTTGTGCTTAAGGAGCTTATTGGTATAGCAATTATTGAGAAGTATAGGAAAGGAAGGCACTCTCTCCCTTCCTCTTCGAACCCTGTTCAAATGCCACTTCTATAAACCTTCTCTGATAGCTTCAGAATAAAATGAACTCTCTCACCTCTGAACTATTTTCTGAAAAAATCATGAAGTGCCTTATAATATCTTTTGTCTTAAACTGTTATTTAAATATTTTATTGCTTTTTAACTCTCTCCATGTTTAACTTCCCTATTAGATTGTAAACTCCTTAAAGGCAGACATCAAGTCTTATATTCTGATATAAATATATATATATGTATATATGCACCAGGTATTAATAAATATTGGTTGATTTTAATTATATTCTAAGGCAGGGGTTCTTAATCTGGGAATTCGTCAACTTTTTTTTTTAATATTTTGATAATTGTATTTCACTATAATTGGTCTCTCTTGTAAGCTGATATATTTTATTTTTGTGCATTTTAAAAACATGATCCTGAAAAGGGGTCCATAGGCTTCATCAGACTCTAATACCAGTCAAAGAGGTCTCTGACATAAAATAATCAGGAATTCCTGTTCTAGGCCATCTGTACTGTAAAACTAGAAATAATGGGCTAGAGGATCTCTAAGGCTCTATAATTTTAAGATTTAACATGTAGTTGATGTTGGGTATCATTGGTTGGAGAGAAAAAAAAGCAGTTGGAGGTGGGACAAGTATTTAGATGTAAAAAGGAACAAACACTAACACCAAATGGGTCTGTGGGATGAGAAAACTCCCTAACCTGCTTTTGAAATGACTCAAAAATGGGAGTCCCAAAGTGGATTGCAGAAGAGCAAAACCAGACCAAATCAAAATAAGGATAAAAGAAAGTATACTAATGAACTATTGGCAAAGGATGAATAAAAGTGTGTAAGTCCTACTATGATACAGTAGCAGGCATATTCTGAAAACGCTTACTTTACCAACAAAATGAAACCGTAGAGGTAATAGAGGCAGATACCAACAGTCAGAAAGGTAATCTTGCTGTAAAATTTAAAAACTCTATCCCAACTATGAAATGATCACCTGGAGGCCTGATTTTACTGTGGTGAAATTACAACAACAAGGGGCTGATAGCAACACTCGTAAGGTTGTAGGTTTTGGAAGTCCTTACAAATAAGGGAGTCTTTAAGAAGCTACAGTAAAGATGGAGGAATAGAGAAAAACAAAAGGAAAGTCACTGTGAAAGTAAGAGTTTATACTTTTCTTCCTCACTTCATCTTTGTACCTTAATCCTGTCAGAAGATTGATTCTCTAGGATCCAAAGTTTCTTATTTCCCCTCCCCCAAGTATTAGAATTGTCTGATACCTTCTTCCCTCTAGCCAAACTACCAGGCACTGAAGCCACAGGTGCATAAAGCAACTGACATTCAGGCATGAATGAGACTGAATTCACAAAGTAGAACCTCTTTTACCCAAATGGTAAAATGTGGAGAGAAATATTATTGAGTAGAGAGCCTTCTCAAGTTTCTTTGCTTTCTCTAAGCACCGTCTGGTCCTCAATTCACCAAGGGGTAAAATAAAAGGCACCACTCTTACAAGCTTGTTCACACCAACAAAGCTTTCCTTCTTCACCAACAGAGGTTTGATAAAAACAAAGAGTAGTTACTGGTAAAGAATAATGAAATCCCGAATAGCCAATCAACAAATTCAACTTATTCATTCAATACAGATTTACTGAGGGGGATGAGTAAGACCTAGATTCTTTCCTCTAAAAGCTTACAATCTTGTGGAAGGGATTATATATCAGGTAGAACATAAGCCCCATGAGAGGACATACAATGCTATGGAAGATCGAAGAAGGAAGACGTTGACAGCTGGAGTCATCGAGAGAAGCTTCGTGGAAGAAGCAGCATTTGAACTGGGTTCTAAAGGACAAGGAGGTTTTAACAGGGCAATATATAACAAAGCCATCAAAGCTAGAAAGCAAAGGATAGGTAGAGTAGTCCAGTTTGGTGTGCACTCTGGCAAACAGGCTAGAAAGGTAAGATGAGGCTAGACCTTCGATGTCAGCAAAAAATATGAACATTACTCAGCAGGCATTGGGAAGTCACTGAGTATTTTTGGACATGGAACTGACAATGAAAGTTGTGTTTTAGGAAAATAAATATGGTTGTAGTATACAGGAGGGACTGACCTGGGCAAGGGGTCAGTCAGTCAACTAGCATTTATTAAGAACCTACTATGAGCCAGGCACTGTGCTAAGTTCTGGGAAGAAAGAGAAGATTCTAAGTAGGAACCTGCCAAGAGA